TTGGAGTACTGCATGGTGACCGGCTACGACTGGTGGGACATCCTGCTCCACGTCCAGCCCAGCATGGTCCAGAACCTGGTGGAGAAGCTGCACGAGGAGTACATGCGCCAGAACGCGGCCCTGCAGCAGGTCGGTGGGCAGGAGCTCTGGGCTCATTCTGAGGGTGGGCGTGGGGGGCCTCAGGGACTGGGAGTGGGGAGCAGCCAGTACCGCTCCTCAGGAGACAGGGGCTCTGCCTGGCTGTGCTCTCTGAGTGCCTGGCCCAGGCAGTGCTGGAGCTGGGACGGGTCTCCATGTTAGCAGTGTTTGTGTCACTGACATCAGCGGGTCTCTGCCTGCTGGAGACTTCGTGTGAGATGGTGAAGTCTATTTTTTGCACATTCTGGGAACAGCAGCATTCACGTGCACAGTGTTCATTATTCCTGTCACTCCTGTGGCAGAAATGGAGAGCAGACAATAAAGCAGCAGCAGCAGCAGCTTTAATGAGCTTATGCTAATTCTACCTTTCCCTGTGCATTTTCCTACATCTGCACATCGCCCAGGTCCTCTCCACACGCATCGTTGCCATGAAGGCGTCGCTGTGCAAACTCTCCTCCAGCACCATCGCCCGTGTGTGTGACTACCACGCCAAGCTCTTCCTCATCGCCATCAGCTGCACCCTGAAATCGCTGCTGCGCCCCCACTTCCTCAACACCCCGGACAAGAGCCCCGGGGACCGGCTCACCGAGATCTGCTCCAAGATCACCGATGTAGGTACTGACACCTCACAGCATCCCGCTCTGCCTTCCCAGTGTTTGGCCCTGGATTGTTCCCCGTCGTTCAACATGAAGTGCCACAGTTTTATAGTAACTCCTAGGTTTGAGGAGGAGGAGGAGGGTGACCTCCCTGGGGAGGGTTTGAGGTTTAGATCCATCTTCCTGAGCCAGGTGATGTCTCACTTCTGTTCCAGACATTGACAAGGTGATGATTAACCTGAAGACAGAAGAATTTGTCCTGGAGATGACGACGCTGCAGTCCCTGCAGCAGCTCATCCAGTGGGTGGGGGATTTTGTGCTCTATCTCCTGGCCAGCCTTCCCAACCAGGTGAGACCTCGAGTCCCAGGAACGGACCGAGGGGGCACAAACACCTGTGGGCAGTGCTGGGGAGCTTTAACCAGGACCACGCGTCCCTGTGGGGTGTGGGAGGGCGCTGGGAAGGGGCGTAAGGATCGGCAGAATTAGAGAATTCCCGTGCCCGCCGCAGGGCTCCCCGGTGCGCCCCGGGCACAGCTTCCTGCGCGACGGCGCGTCCCTCGGCATGTTCCGGGAGCTGATGGTGGTGATCCGCATCTGGGGGCTGCTGAAGCCGAGCTGCCTGCCCGTGTACACGGCGACCTCTGACACCCAGGACAGCATGTCCCTGCTCTTCCGGCTCCTGACCAAGCTCTGGCTGTGCTGTGAGTGTGACGGGTTCCCTGAACAGTCATTCCTGCCTCGGTGGGGCTGGTGCATGCAAGGAGTGTCTGTGGGACGTGACTCCAAGGGGGTCTGGAGCGCTTGGAAAGGGCAAGTGCAGCTGCCAAGGTCATTGTTTTCTGGGCTATCTCGTCAGTGGAGGAGGAGGAGGCTGCACGCAGCTCTCTGGAGCTCTGAAGGAGAATTGTAAAGGTCTCGCTGGTTCTTTGCTTCATTTTCTGTACAGGCCGTGAGGAAAATCACATCACGGAGCCTGACGATGCCCTGATCGACGAGTGCTGCCTCCTGCCCAGCCAGCTGCTCATTCCCAACATCGACTGGCTGCCCATCAACGATGGCATCATCAGCAAGCTGCAGAACAAGCAGCTGATGCGGCTGCAGTTCGGGAAGGCTCCCGGGCTCGTTGGCCACACTGTGTCCTCCCAGTTCGATGCCTTTGTCAGGTACAGACATGTGGAACGAGTAGGTGCTGTGGTGAGAAGGGGTGTTGCAGGTGTTGGGGTCTCTTGGCAGCTCTGGGGTTTGGGACACCTGGGGGTTTGGGTTGTCCTCTTGCTGGATTGACCCAAGAGTAGTTTATCCTCTCTGCTCGAATCCGTTTCTCAACTTGTGATGAGCTGGGAATTTGAAGTACTGAAAAGCAATGGCAAATGGGGGAAAACCAGGAAAGTCCTGTTTTCTCTCCCCAGGGCCCCCGGACAGCCCAAAATTGACCACCTGAGGCGGCTGCACCTGGGCGCGTACCCGACGGAGGAGTGCAAGTCCTGTACCAGGTAAGGGACACAGGTGTCATTGCACTGTGCAGCTGGGCTCAGGCAGCACCCACACTGTCCTGAGTGTCCTTCAGGAGCTCTCTGAGGCCGGTTATGGCTGTGGCTAAGATGTCCCCAACCTGGGACACTCAGGGCATTATCAGAGAGTGGCATCACTGTGGCCTGGCCCTCAGGTTAAAAATCTAACAGATGAGATTAAGTTCTTAAATTAACAATCTGATCGGGGGAGCCAGAATTGGGCCTGGAGGAGTCTCTATAGTGACTCCTTTATATGATTTCCAGTTCTGCAGGGCTGTTCCTTAAAGCACCTGTGTGCTTGGAGTGCAGTCGGAGGGAGGAACCACCCAGCACCCCTGCTCCAAGTTTGGGGTCATCTTTCCACCCAGGCTCGCATTTCATGCTGGCCTCCTCTCCCACTCTCATGGGAGAGCCTGGATTTCAGGATAATGGCTCAGGGAAAAAACATCCATCTAGTCATGTGACTGAATTAGCTTTAATTACTGGGTTTAATAGAAAGCCTCTGTAGCACATCATTTTTGTGAGATGACTGTCGGCTGTTTCATGTGTAAACAGCAGCTGGGGCTGTTCCGCGCCAGGCTCTGGCTCAGGCTCCAGGAGGGCCCTCAGCAGGATTGTTGCTCGCTGGTTTCAGCTGGTTTTGGTGCTCTCAGGAGTCACCTGCAGATGACAGGAGCTGTTTTCCCCCATGGATGCCCCCATTCCTGTGTGGTCCGTGCAGCAGCCCTGGCCCTTGGGGGCCCCCTGGACTGGTGCACCCCCTGTGTCCCCCCAGGTGTGGCTGTGTCACGATGCTGAAGTCGCCCAACAAGGTGACAGCGGTGAAGCAGTGGGAGCAGCGCTGGATCAAGAACTGCCTGTGTGGGGGACTGTGGAGGAAGATGCCCCTCAGCTACTCCTGAGCCCTTCCTGGGGCACAGTGGGGGCCAAGAGCTGTGTGGGGTTCCTTCCACAGAGGGGTTGTGACAAGGGCACAGCAGCTCCTCTCCTGGAACAAACTGCTGCCACTCTGCCTTACTGAGCTGTGCTGGAAAGCAGAGTGGAGGGAGCTCTTCTTTTCCAGGGAAGAGCTGGGAGGCAATGCCAGAGGTTTCTCCATCATTTGGGGCCTGGGAGGGGAGAGCCTGGCTGTGTGTCAGGGCTGTGCTGGCAGAGCACTCTGGGCAGAGAGAGATGACGGGGTGGCTGGGGGGGAACAATGTCCCAGGTGAGGTGAACAAACACCTGGTACCTCATTTCCATCCTGTGCTTCTGGCTGCTTGAGAAGTGCCTCGTGGGCTGAGCACTCCTGGTCCCTGAGCAGATCTGCCCCTCTGACAGGAGCTGTGCTCTGCGTGCCCATCGGGGTTGGGTCAGAGCAGGAACACGAGTGCTGCTGCCTGGAATGAACCCTCCCTTTGGCTCTTGCTGTTGTAAATAAAAATTCCCATAATTTTGTACAGAACATGTGGTTTGTTTCTGTTGTGTGATGTGGCCACCCAGTGCAAGGCCAGGGCAATGGAACCATGGGAGAGCCCCCAGTGCATCTGTCAGGAAAAATGCTGCCAGGGGTTGGGGAAATGGATGTTTTTAAAGTTCTTTCACATCCTTATGGACATTCGAGCTTCAGGCAAAGCCAGACACTTGAGCGGGTCAGAGGAGGAGCGTTACTGATGCAGCCAAAACTCCTGTTGGAACTTTGCCCTCCCTTGGCCCCCGCTGCTGCTGCACTCGGCAGGAAATCACAACCTCCTGGTGCCAGCGAGGCTGTGCCTGTGCAGCCTGAGCCCTTTGGGGGTCAGATGGGTGACTTTGGCCTGCTCTGTTCCCGAGGGTCCTTCAACTCTTAGGGAGGAGAGCCTGGAGCCACCAGCTGTCCTGGATCCCAGCCAGCCAATTTCATGTCCCCACAGACCCTTCAAGGGAAGGAATGAGCCAGTTTTTGTACATTCCTTTCCTTCTGGAACTGCCTTTTCATTATTATTGAGAGCTGGAGCTGGTGGCAGAGAGCTCATTCCCCAACTCCAGCGAATGTTTCACTGGATGGAGCTGGAAGAGCTGAACAGAGCTCCCCCCTCACTGTTCTGCTGGTAATTAAGGACAATCAAATGTCTAATTAGGAAACTGCACCTTGTTAAGGCTCTTTCCCCCTGTAAGTAAAACTCAGCCCAGGCCATTTGTGAGCCTCTTTTTCTCTGAGAACAGGTTTGGGGTTATTTAATGTTTGATTGGGACCAGGGAGCAGCAAAACAGTGCTGGGATGGAGAAGGAGGACAGAGCAGGGGGACAGACATTCATGACCCACCCACCACGGAGCTCCCAGGACAGGACTGGAAGGGTCTGGCAGTGTCCTGGGCCGTGCTGCTGCCCTGCTCCCATCCCTTGTGTCTTGGCCCGGCTCCCTCCAAGGACTGGGGAGTTGGGAGAGTGGGGTGGACATGGGACAAGGACCAGGGTTATGGTGGGAAGATGGGGCTGTGCCTCGCCCTGTTCCTCGGCTCCTGGGACCCAGTGAGAGTCCTGATGGGTCCCAGCACAGATCCCTCTATAGGAGCTGGAGCCACTGCTGCTGTATCAGCAGGGAGTTTCTGCTTTCCCAAGTGTTCACACAATGACCCTGCAGGACGTCCCAGCTCTGGACCTTATCATGGCCACACCTCAGGATGAGTCCCCTGCTCCCACCCGAGGCCACGCAGTCCCCAAGGGCTCAATCTCCACATCACCCACCCCAAATACATCTCCCCTCAGTGGGGGGCTCCTGCACAGACTCCCAGCTTTGCAGATGGCATCATCTCTTTATTGCAGCGATTGTGGGCAGCGTTTCGGGCACCTTCAGCAAAGCCTGTGGGGGGGCTGTGACCCTCCATCCTCCCCCAGCTGGGCCCTGTGCTTTGCAAGAAGGGGGCCAGGGACCCCCTTCCCTGGTTCCTTGCTGTCCCCCGGCCCAGCCCCCCTCCTTCTGTGGGGGGACACTCCGGGAGCGGGGTGGGCAGCAGTGGGAGCCCCCGGTGTGCAGTGGGGCAGCAGCGTGGGTGCTCTGGCCGTGCTGGCAGCAGCAAGCCGTGGCGTGGAGCAGGTCCCCGGGGTGCCCTCAGCGAGCGTCCCCCTGCCCGTCCGCGGAGGCCATGACGCCGTCGATCCAGGCCGCGTACGGGGCGATGCGGGTGTAGATGGCTGGTTTCTTGTAGTTGCCGCAGACGCGGGAGCCGGCAGTGACCACTCCCTCAGCCACCCCTCCGCAGACCAGGGGGCCGCCAGAGTCTCCCTGCAGGACCAGCGCTCGTCAGCACGGCCAAGGGTTTGCTGGGACACCCCAGCCCATCTCCCACCCCTGACTGCTGGCTCCAGGCTCCCGCGAGCTGCCCTGCAGTGGCCAGCGCAGGGTACGGAGGCCCCTCACCTCGGGGACACGAGCTCCTCCTGTCCCTCCTTGCCCTCTCCCGGCCCCCCGGGGTGGTTGGAAGCCCCAGCCCGAGGGTCCAGCCACGAGCCCGTGGGAGGCAGGCGGTACCTTGCAGGTGTCCCTCCTGCGGGAGTCGGTGCACATCATCTTGTCGGTGATGGTGCCGTCGTGGCGCGTGCGGTGGTTGCAGACGTCGCGGCTGATCACCGGCCGCTCCACCTGCTGCAGCCTGTCGGGCTTGCGGCCGCTGTGGCTGGTGACGCCCCACCCCGCCACCTCGCACACCGTGTCGGGAGCCACATCCCTGTCCTCCCGCTGGAATGGCAGCACCTGCACGTCCGAGTTCAGCTCCGCTTTCTCCTCCAGCTGCCACCAAGCAAGAGGGGACCGGAGTCAGGGCACAGCTGTGCCCAGGATCCAGCAGGGCATGGCAAACCCAACCGTGACAATGGGATCAACCCCGGGCCTGGCCATGCTCAGGGCTTTGCCTCCCGACCAGAGCCCCAGGACGCAGGCACAAACCAGAGCTGGAAGAAGATGGAGGCATTTGGGTGCAGCTCAAAGGTCTTTTGTGGGGGAAGCAGGGATAGTCCCATGGGACGGGGAGGAAGGAACAAGGGGAATCAGACCCAGCACGACCTTGAAGGTTTTCTCTGGCCTCAGTCAGTGACCCTGCAGGGTCCAGAGGGACAGCTGGATTTGCAGGAGTAGGGAGCAGGGTCCCAGGGGTCCTGGCCCACCTGGAGAAGGAGGAGGTCGTCCTTGTTGTTGTGCTTGTTGCTGCCGGGGTGGGGGAACTGGGCGCGCACCCGGTACAGGTGTTTGTGGGGCTCCTGCTCCGTGAGCGAGTGGGCACCCAGCAGCACCTGGAAGAGTTTGTCATCCCTGGAAGAGAGTCAGAGTGTGGGACAAACAGAGCTGGGGGTGTTGCTGCATCCAGCCGTGGAAGTGGGGTGCTTGGGGGACCAGAGAGCCCCGCAGGGGTACCGGGAGCTCCTGCAGCCCCTGCTCAGCCCTCACTGCAGGTGGAATCAGAGCATGGTGCTCCAGCACCAGTCAGGGCTACAGAGGGGGATTTGGCCTGAGCCCAGCAGCCCCCCTGGGCATAGAGCAGACCCCTCCCAACTCACGTCTCCTCAGTGCAGTGGGCAGCGCTCAGCACCCACTGCTCGGCGATGAGGAAGCCCCCACAGACGTGATGCCCGTCCAGCTGCAGAGAGGCCATGTATGGCTTCAGGTGGGGCCTGGCCTCGTAGCCCCCCAGGATCCGTCCCCGGGGCTGCCCTGCAGGAGAGAGGCTCTGTCAAGTGAGGGGCACAGGGCAGTGTCATTCCCACGGTACCTCCTGGGTTCCTGGACCCTGTGGGTTGTGGCAGCACCCAGCTGCAGGTGGAGGCAGGAACTGGGGAGGCATCCCTGCGATGGGGATGTCGCTGCCTTGGCCCATCCCAGGGTTCAGGGGGATGCACTCACCGTTCACTGTGGTCCCAAGCAGCAGCAGCACAGGAACAAGGACAGGAGCAGGACTCAGCCCCATGGCTGTGGAAGAACCCAGAGGTGCCTTTGCCCGACTAGGGGATGTGTGGGAGTTTTGGGGTGCGTGGGAGCTCCGAGGTGGACGCTGCTCATTCGGGGCTGGGGCCGGGGCTCGCTTTTATGTCCAGTTTGGGACAGTGGGGGGGCAGGAAGGGGGAGGCGGGGGGGAGTGGGGGGGTTTCCGCAGCGTGGGCCGAGTGTTTGGACATATTTAGCTTATAAAAGGGGTCAAGAGTTCTCGGTATAAACAGGGCGGGAGGAGGAAACAGCCTGGCCCAGCTGCTGGCCCTGGCACCCGCTGCCGGGGATTTCAGCGCAGAAAAAGTTCCAGCTCTTGGTACATGAAAGCTCCGACACATTCCATCCCCCCACCCAGAGCAAGGACCCCCTCTAGGCGTGGGGGGGCCCCTGGTGGGTGCTGGATGCCAGCTCGGTGGGTGCACAGGGATACAAACCCATCCCCTGGGTTTGCCCTTGGACTGACGAGGACAGTGGGATCAGGGCCGTGGGAGACACCCCAACCCCGAGGGGGCTCCTGCAGGACGGGGGGTTGAGGTGGCGGGAGGGGTGATGGCAGCGACAGGAGCGGTGTCCGGGGCAGCGGTGGAGGTGGCAAGGGCGCCAATGCCGGCCGTGCCGGGGATGACGGTGGATGTGGCAGCCCCGGTCCCCTCTGCCTTTCTCCCCGGTGCCACTAAGCGGAGCCACCGCCTCGGATCCCGCCCGGTCCCGGCGCGTTCCAGAGCTCCGGAGCCGCTCATCGGCCCGGGAGCCTCTCACCCCGCCCCGAGGCCAAGGTCACGCTGCCCTCGCCCTTTGCCGGGACAGCGCAGGCCACCGTGGTCACTCACAGCTGGGTCCAGCCGTGCTCCTTCAGAGCAGCCAGGACCGAGCAGCGCTCCCAGGGACACGGGGCAAGGGCTTGGAGCTCACCGTCCCCCCCTTCTCCTCCTGCTCCAAGAGCCTTTACAGCTCCGAGCTGCCGTGCTCCCTTTGTCTGCTTGCACAGACGCTCCATCGCCCCCACCCTCGACCCCCCGGCCCCCCACGCTGACGGCCCCACCGGACAGACTCACCAGTGAGGAGCGGGCTGGGCACGGGGGGTCCCCACAGACTCAGGGGTCCCTCTGCGGGGGCAGCTTCGCGTCCCCGCTGTCCCCACGTGCTGGTGGCACATGGCGGGCGGGGGGCAGAGCACGCGGTGGTGTGGCCGTCGCTCAGCCTGGGATTTTCTGCAGGGAGAGCAGCTTAATCGCGGCTTCCAGGGATTCGGGATTTAGATGTTAAATACGCCTGGAGATTTCTGCCCACTTAGGGCCAAAAATGGAACAAGGGCAGCGTGTGGGGCCACGCAGAACCTGGGCAGGAGCAGGAGTGGGTGGGGTGTGCAGAGGCAGAGTATGGGGTGCAGGGAATGGGGTACAGGGTGGGGAACTGGGTAGAGCACAGCCGGGACCCACTGCAGGTGGAGGGGGCAAGGGCAGGCAGGGCTGGGGGGACACCACCTCCCACAGGAGGTGCCCGGAGTCCTCGGGGAACAAAGGGAGCTGCACCCACTTCCTCAGGCCCAAGTTAGGACACAAGGTTCCTGCTGAGAGTGGTCCTGGAACTGTCCCAGGGGCTCCTCGTGACTGTGGGCCCAGGACTCGACCCGAGTCTCTCCCGAAGCCCCTGGGGGACACGGGAAGGGCAGGTGCCCCCCCACCAACAGAGCCAGGTGGGTGTCGGGAGCTGGCAGAGCTCCGGGGTGGTGGATTTGGCGGTCACACACACCCCATGCTGTGGGACATCTCTGGGGTCCCCGCAGCTCCAGGGCGAGGGAGCTGTCTCTGAAGGGCAGGAGAATCCTCGGGTGGGGATCAACACCCCTCACGCAGCACACGGGAGGAAGGGTTGATCGGGGATGGAGCCCCTGTGGGGGGCGGCCCCGGGACCCCCCTGTCCCCTGGGTGCCTGGGCAGGGGTCAGGGATGTGGAGCGACGCTGAGCGAGGTCGGTCCCGCTGCTGCCTCGGCCCCGCCCGGTCCTTTGTTTCTCCTCGACCCCCCCAAGACCTCCTGAGATCCCTTCAGACCCCCCTGGATCCCCCTCCCTGGCCCGACGGGGGCTCGATGGGGGCTCGGCGGGGGCTCGGCGCCCAAGGAGGGGCCGGGGGCGGCGGGGCGGGGAGCGGCGGGCAGGGGAGGAGAAGGAGGAGGAGGAGGAGGAGGAGGAGGCGGGGGCGGAGGAAGCTGCCGCTCCCCGCGCTCCGCCGAGGCAGGAGCATCCCGGATCCCGGGGACCCCCCCAGCCACCAACGCGCCCCCCGCCCCTCTGCGCCCCGGAGCCGCCTCTGAGGTGAGTGGGGGGCACAGTCCGGCACAAAGGGCCGCTCCTCCCTCCGGCGACACCTTCTCCCATCCCCCGACCCCGACCGCGACCCCCGCCCGCTGCTGCGGCACGGTCCCTGCGAAGGGGGGGTTTCCACTGCACCCCCGCCCTCCCGGTCATACCCCCGATTAATCTCCCGTTATTGTCTGTCCTCGTTATTACCCCCCCGCCGTTCCCCCCCGTCGCTCCATCCCCCTTATGCTCCCCCTCATTTCGCAGCCCGGGCTCATTGCAATCTCAGGGGTTGGGGCAGGGGGGTCCGGGCACCCCCATCCCTGCCCGGCTCTGCGGGGGGCACACCCCCTCTCCGCAGCAGCCTCGCCGCCTGTCGCAGTAGTGGTCGCCTGTCGCGACAGACGAGCCTCCGCCCCACCTGTTGTCACAGCCCTGGCTCGGTCGGGCATCCCCTCGGAGTCCTGGGNGGATGTGTGGGAGTTTTGGGGTGCGTGGGAGCTCCGAGGTGGACGCTGCTCATTCGGGGCTGGGGCCGGGGCTCGCTTTTATGTCCAGTTTGGGACAGTGGGGGGGCAGGAAGGGGGAGGCGGGGGGGAGTGGGGGGGTTTCCGCAGCGTGGGCCGAGTGTTTTGACATATTTAGCTTATAAAAGGGGTCAAGAGTTCTCGGTATAAACAGGGCGGGAGGAGGAAACAGCCTGGCCCAGCTGCTGGCCCTGGCACCCGCTGCCGGGGATTTCTGCGCTGGGGTTTTCAGCGCAGAAAAAGTTCCAGCTCTTGGTACATGAAAGCTCCGACACATTCCATCCCCCCACCCAGAGCAAGGACCCCCTCCAGGCGTGGGGGGGCCCCTGGTGGGTGCTGGATGCCAGCTCGGTGGGTGCACAGGGATACAAACCCATCCCCTGGGTTTGCCCTTGGACTGACGAGGACAGTGGGATCAGGGCCGTGGGAGACACCCCAACCCCGAGGGGGCTCCTGCAGGACGGGGGGTTGAGGTGGTGGGAGGGCTGATGGCAGCGACAGGAGCGGTGTCCGGGGCAGCGGTGGCGGTGGCAAGGGCGCCAATGCCGGCCGTGCCGGGGATGACGGTGGATGTGGCAGCCCCGGTCCCCTCTGCCTTTCTCCCCGGTGCCACTAAGCGGAGCCACCGCCTCGGATCTCGCCCGGTCCCGGCGCGTTCCAGAGCTCCGGAGCCGCTCATCGGCCCGGGAGCCTCTCACCCCGCCCCGAGGCCAAGGTCACGCTGCCCTCGCCCTTTACCGGGACAGCGCAGGCCACCGTGGTCACTCATAGCTGGGTCCAGCCGTGCTCCTTCAGAGCAGCCAGGACCGAGCAGCGCTCCCAGGGACACGGGGCAAGGGCTTGGAGCTCACCGTCCCCCCCTTCTCCTCCTGCTCCAAGAGCCTTTACAGCTCCGAGCTGCCGTGCTCCCTTTGTCTGCTTGCACAGACGCTCCATCGCCCCCACCCTCGACCCCCCGGCCCCCCACGCTGACGGCCCCACCGGACAGACTCACCAGTGAGGAGCGGGCCGGGCACGGGGGGTCCCCACAGACTCAGGGGTCCCTCTGCGGGGGCAGCTTCGCGTCCCCGCTGTCCCCACGTGCTGGTGGCACATGGCGGACGGGGGGCAGAGCACGCGGTGGTGTGGCCATCGCTCAGCCAGGGATTTTCTGCAGGGAGAGCGGCTTAATCGCGGCTTCCAGGGATTCGGGATTTAGATGTTAAATACGCCTGGAGATTTCTGCCCACTTAGGGCCAAAAATGGAACAAGGGCAGCGTGTGGGGCCACGCAGAACCTGGACAGGAGCAGGAGTGGGTGGGGGTGTGCAGAGGCAGAGTATGGGGTGCAGGGAATGGGGTACGGGGTGGGGAACTGGGTAGAGCACAGCCGGGACCCACTGCAGGTGGAGGGGGCAAGGGCAGGCAGGGCTGGGGGGACACCAACTCCCACAGGGGGTGCCAGGAGTCCTCGGGGAACAAAGGGAGCTGCACCCACTTCCTCAGGCCCAAGTTAGGACACAAGGTTCCTGCTGAGAGTGGTCCTGGAACGGTCCCAGGGGCTCCTCGTGACTGTGGGCCCAGGACTCGACCCGAGTCTCTCCCGAAGCCCCTGGGGGACACGGGAAGGGCAGGTGCCCCCCCACCAACAGAGCCAGGTGGGTGTCGGGAGCTGGCAGAGCTCCGGGGTGGTGGATTTGGCGGTCACACACACCCCATGCTGTGGGACATCTCTGGGGTCCCCGCAGCTCCAGGGCAAGGGAGCTGTCTCTGAAGGGCAGGAGAATCCTCGGGTGGGGGTCAACACTCCTCAGGCAGCACACGGGAGGAAGGGTTGATCGGGGATGGAGCCCCTGTGGGGGGCGGCCCCGGGACCCCCCTGTCCCCTGGGTGCCTGGGCAGGGGTCAGGGATGTGGAGCGACGCTGAGCGAGGTCGGTCCCGCTGCTGCCTCGGCCCCACCCGGTCCTTTGTTTCTCCTCGACCCCCCCAAGACCTCCCGAGATCCCTTCAGACCCCCCTGGATCCCCCTCCCTGGCCCGACGGGGGCTCGATGGGGGCTCGGCGGGGGCTCGGCGCCCAAGGAGGGGCCGGGGGCGGCGGGGCGGGGAGCGGCGGGCAGGGGAGGAGGAGGAGAAGGAGGAGGAGGAGGAGGAGGAGGCGGGGGCGGAGGAAGCTGCCGCTCCCCGCGCTCCGCCGAGGCAGGAGCATCCCGGATCCCGGGGACCCCCCCAGCCACCAACGCGCCCCCCGCCCCTCTGCGCCCCGGAGCCGCCTCTGAGGTGAGTGGGGGGCACAGTCCGGCACAAAGGGCC